ATACTGCTTTGTTTTAGATGGCTGACAATTACAGGACAGGAAAGTATTATTTCAGGAAATAACATTTTCTAAACGAATTAAAATAGGTCACAGAATTGGACCAGTGAAAATTTCTGTAGAAAAAATGCTACCGATTTTTCAAATTTTTTCCTTCAAAAAAGGAAAAACAACTTACCAGAAGTATTTTTCAATTCTGCCATGCTTCATGTTTCACCTCTTTTTGACTAAGCATTTGGCATACTGTTATAAAAAAATGTTATATTCAGTACAGTTCCACTTCTGATAATTGCTACCAACCTCCTTAACCAATGTGAAGAGTGCCTTCCTTCCCCCCTCCCTCTGTTCTTGTGACAAGACTAACCTCAGCTGTGCAGGGGTTGGTGGCATTTGCATGTGGAAATGCACTAATATGGATGTTTTTCTTTGTGTGTGCATCCTTGCAGTGTTGTATACCAGGATGGATTTTATGGTGCAGACATTTATGTAAGTATTCATTGATGTGCATGCTGTCCTTGTACATTACCAGAGTCATTCTTTTTACAAGTTTGCTGCCTAGCTTGACTCTGTTTTGTCTATTTACCATCCCTTGCCTGTCAGAAGGAATTGAGAAGAATATCTCTCACATTGGAAGACCTTTCTGTTCATTACATCTATCATTGTTCAGTGGAGCTGAATTAACTCTTCAATCAAATGTTGAATAAATGCAAAAAGATGTGAAAAATATGTGTGTGCATGTATGGTTGTGTGTGGAGGAGTGTCTCCCTTCAAAATTAAAGTATTAAGAGAAGTTAAAAATAAAGCAGAAACATACTTCTGCCAACCCCCAAAAGCTGTTGGTTTTTTGTTGTTTTTTTTGTTGTTGTTGTTTTAAATCAAGGCTAGTTAAGCATTAATGATACTTGAGGTATGAAAGTGCAGTATAGAGAGGTATACACTCAAGTAAATTTTCTCAAATCTCAGCAACGTTTGGGATGTGCCGTGGCAGAGCTTAATTACACTGTAAGTTTAAGATGTGTCTCTGTATTGTGTTATTTGAATAGACTTCTGTAGACTGCTCTTTTAAAATCCACATATTTCAATTTAAATGAAATAGGTAGAGATCACTTGAGTTGTACGAAGTGGTTATTTCTGTTAGTAAGTACTGATAGCCTTGGATAGTAATTACCAGCTTCTCATTAAAATGTATATAGCTCATTGGTCACCAATTTCTTTTTAAAAGATATTTTTAAACTTCTTTTCTTACTAATATTCAAGTTTTTACCTTGAATATATACAGAGAGGCTACTTACATCTGAGTATACAAGAAGTTTAAGACTGAGGTTGAATTCCAGGCTTCTAAAATAATTTTTGCACCCTGTGTTTACAGTTTTGTAAAAATGCATGGATATGAAATACGTTACCAGTAATAAGGTAATCTTTCACATCTGTTATTATTTTTGCAATAGCAGACTGGTCCAGGTATCTTTATTTCAACAGACAACTTGCTATATCCTAATTGTGCTTATATTTTTCTGTCTCTATTGAGTTACAAAGAGATGGATGAGGTGAAATTGGTATGAACATTAAAAATTCACTAGGTAATGCTAGGAAACCTTTCTTGTGTTTATTACCAGCAATCTTTTAGAGCTATTTCCAAAGGAACAGAGTATTTTTGAATAAATTTTATATGAGAGGAAAACAATTTGAACTTATGGAAGAAGTAGGTTTTGTTTTTTTGGTTTGATAAAGGCTGATACCCATCTGATGATTAATTTGCATAGTTGAAAAATATTTTTAAAATAAATTAACACAGTTTAAAATTGTATGTGCATTTAGAGATGCTATCTGTAACATATTGTTTGTGACACGTGAGAATCACTTATTTGCCAAAAGCTTACTCAAGTATAGTAAGCTGTTTAAGTCTCACTTAAACGCATTGCTATTGAATTTTTGAGCTACATAGAATACACAGTGTTAAATTTCTTCAAGTGTGATTTTCAGTTTTCGTATTTCTGCAAACTGTGACATCCATTTTGCCCAGTTTCCCAACCTGAAAATCTAAAAAGCATCAAGAAATCTACCTTAGTATTGCTTGATGTTGATAGTGTACTTTGGAGTTAAATGTTTATGCAACAGTTCATGGTTTTGGAAACCACTGTTGCCACAAAGCAAGGTGTCTCTTTTGGTGCTTGACAAAATGATTTCATTTTAAGGGGTCCCTCATCCTCTCAAAGTCTGGAACATCTTTCTTCCAAACAGAAAGAAATTTCAATGAGGAAGATACTGAAAAAATTACTAATTTCTAGTGTAGTTTCAGTTGTGTTGTTTTGACTACTCAAGTGCATTAAAAATGTGATAGCTATGCTGCTGCACTGGTTTTGACTCAGTTGCAGCTTTGTACTTCTCAGTGTATTTTTTTAGTTCTCTTACTGAGACGGAATGATTACAGAAGTTCATATAATGAAAACATTCTTGTGGAAATCTATTATTTTGTAACGTTCACAGCTTCTTAGTTTATAATTCATTTTTCTTCACATTTTTCTTTCTTCCATCCAAAACATTTTGATGGTGAAAGGAAGAGAGAACTGGTATAAGTTGGAAGAAAATTTATTATGAAGTGTATTAGTTCTCAGTGTATCAGTTTGCAGCAGGCGAAGTTATTTATTAAATCCCTATTGACTATGCTATAATTTTAGTCAGCTTTTGATTTTAATTACTGAGATGAAGCTTTGGGAAAGAACAAGTGCTTTGCGAGAAAAAAAAAAGGAATAAATAAAATTTTAAGTATATAGGTTGTAATAGTAAATTGGAGAGAAAGGAGCCATTAAAATGATAGAGAAAACAAAATCAAAGGAACACTACTAAATGCTATTCATCAACAACTATATCAAAGTAGATTTCATTCTGATGTGATTACGTTGATTAGCAACAGTGGTATGGACTGTGCCAAGGTAGCCTTTGATGGCTAGCCTTTGTGTAAGGGAAGCTGGGAATTATACTGACTGTGTCAAAACTACAGGGTGAAACAAGAACAGAAAATAGTCGCTTAATACTAACCAGAGGCATAGAAGAGAACAGCAATATAAAAATAGGTGGAAAATGCAGTCTAAAAATGAAAATCCAGACCCATGACTATATGTAATACAATATATTCTATATTTCGTACGGTACGATATGAAATGTAATAATGTCTCTGAAATAGCTGAGCTATTGAATTCCTTTCTAAATGTGCCTTTAAGTAGGAAAAATAAAGGAGATGATTAGGAAGAAAGGAAGACCTTTTAAAATTAAGTATTGATTCACTAAGAGAAAAAGTCATTAAAAAAGAATTAAGGTTGCCTGCCAGCAAATACAGAAGTTCCTAGATGAAGATTGACACCTGCAAAAATAAGAAAATACACTCCACAAAATGAAACAAAAATAGTAACAGATGAAGAAATACGCAGTTAAAATGATAGTGCTCCATTATTGCTTTGCTTTGTTGCAGTTCTTTTTTCTTACTGTTGGCATGAAGAATGTTTTCAGAACATGTCAGTCTTTGATAAACAACTAAAATGTGGGAAGGCTACGAAACAGCGCAAACTTCAAATTCTCATCACCAGTTTCCGATGTGTTAGTATGGTTCAACTGTGTATATTAGTCAGTCTCATTGCTCACTGTATGATTTTTTAACTCTTTCTAAGGATTCTGGGCTTCTGATACTAAAGCTGGTAAGGGTCCAAGATAATTCATACGTACATAGGTAGATAAGGATTTCTTTTTTTTTTTTCTGAGTTAAAGATTGAGAATAAGGCATACTTTGTGAGCAAGGGATTGGAAAGTTATTATCAACAGCTAACACCATCTCCTGCAGCTCAAATGCAGAGGATGGTATTGAGGATGGAGGGCCTGTCTACTTTCCAAGAGAAAAGCAGGCATTTTCATTAAAGTGTATCAATTATCTAAGCAATATTCCCTTCCTGCTGGATGCATATCCTCTGATATCCTGAAAGACACTGTTCTGTCTTGAAAAGCAGAGATACGTAGTTAGCACCAAGATCTTATCTTTTAGGTACTGAAGTTTTTTGTGTTTTTTTAAATGAAGAGATGTGACACAGAAATAAAATGAATGGAGAAATGTCTTTTTCATGGGCAAAGAAGTCCCAAGGTGTAGTGTGTGGCTCCTCCTAATGATCTACCCACAGGAATACTCCATGATTACCTTTTCAAAAGTTCTGAGAGCTAATGATGCAATGTCTTCATCTCCCTGATCTTTATTTGTGATTTAAACACTATTTTGGAAAAATGCAGGCTCATTCCTGATGACTGTTCTGGATTAGAATTCATTTATGTGCTGTTAATTTGTATACCTTACCAACAATTTATCTGAGGCAACAGATACCTCTGGGATTACCACAAATGCCTAAAAATAGAAATACGTATGCAAAATATCTCAAGAACTTGGAGTGAAAGGAGATATACGAGGTAAACACAGAGGGAAAATATTTTCGACATCCATATAGAATATTAACTGTTATTAATAGAAAAAAGTAATAGAAAATAGGCATCACTTTGAGTCATATGATTTAGATGTGTTTACAAATAACACTGTCAGTGCATCTGAGATCAAGATAAAAATTTCATTGTTTCAGGAGAAAGCGCAGACATGCACATGGTATTGTAAATTATGAATGTGTAACTTATTTTTGTGGAAATTATACTCAGTACATATACAGATTTTATTTAAAAAATTGGAAGTATTTGATTTTAAATTCATTTTCATTTTATCTTATCCAAAATTTCTGCAAACACAGCTAAAACTGATGAGGATTTCTTTGTAACAACTGGCTAGCGATCTTGCACTGACCCCACAATTCTTTCAATTTGTTTGAGCCATGGAGATGTATGGAACATTGAAAGTAAACTATTTAATAAGTAGTTTGGGGGAACTTCTCCAAATTCCACGCTTGCATCTTTTTTTCCATCCTTACGTCCATCCTTCCTTTACTCATTGAAATCATTGCATTTCTGTTTCTTTATAGAGCATTATTGCAAGAGCCTGTGTATGGCAATAAGTTACTACAGGTATGACATGCTGACTGATGGATAATACTCAGTAGGCTGAATATAGACTGTTGTCAAGTCATACTAATCCTCAAGTTATTCAGTAAGAATATGGATTCTGTGTGTAGAAATGGTAGGAATGATCTACAAGCTGCCTTTAATTTCCAGACTGTATCGTATATATTCACGTCCTATTTAGTACAACATTCATTATAAGTGTTCCATTCATTATATTATGCCAGTGACATACATGTGTATATTTGGACTGCAAGTATTTTGACTTCAATATATACTTAACTTTTTCAGGCAACTTAAGCTGCATTAGCTTCCTTTGGTAGTAGAAAATACAGGAATGCAGATAAGGCAGTAGACATTTTTAATAGTTTCAGCTGAATATAAATTCAATTTTCTAAATAAGATTTCATAACTTTATTTACTTGCTGAGGGAAAGTAAAAGCAAAATAATTCTAAAATGTAGGATCTGACAAGGGAGAATGATTTTAAAATGAAAGTGAGCAGAATTATATTTGATATTAGGAGGAAATCTTTTACTCAGGGAACGATGAGATGCTGGCACAGACTGCCCTGAGAAGTTGTGGATACCTCTTCCCTGGATGTGTTCAAGGCCAGGCTGGATGGGGCCCTGGGCAGCCTGATCTGATAACTGGAAACCAGCATACAGCAGGGGTTGGAACTGGATGGCCTTTGAAGTCCCTTCCAACTCAAGCTATTCTCTGATTTTATGCTTCTATAATTCTATGATCTGATGTAATTGAAGTAAAATCGTAAGAAATAGTACCAAGCCAAAGCTTCAGAATAGCTGCAAAATTATTTCCAGCACAATGTTTTTACATTTAATTTTATCTGAGGATAAAAGTTTGAGGTTGGAAGAGACGGCTGGAGGTCAATATTGTTCCACTGCTCAGTCACCCTCACTGAAAAAGTGCTTCCTGATGTTCAGATTGAACCTCCTTTGTTACATTTTGTGCTCATTGTCTCTCGTGTTGGTATGAGGCATCACTGGTTCTGTCCTGTGTGCACTCTCCTTCAGGTATTTATCCATGTTGGTAAGATCCCCCTGAGCTTTCTCTTCTCCAGGATAAACAGCCCCAGGTCTCTAAGCTGCTTTCTCATAGGAGAGGTTCTTCAGCCCCTTTATCATCTTTGTGCCCCTTATTTGGATTCTGTCCAGTATTTACATGTCACTTTTATACTGGAGAGGACAACAGGTGAGGCATCACCAGTTCTAAGAAGGATTATCTCCCTCGATCTGTTAGCAGTGCTCCTTCTAATCCAGCCCAGGTTATCATTAACCTTAAGCAGCAAGGACATGTTGTTCATGGTGAACTTGATGTCTGCCTGGGCCCCCAGGACCTTTGCTGCAAAACAGCTTTCTAGCTGAGTGCCCCCAGCCATGTCCTGGTATGTGGGGCTGTTTTTCTCTGGGTGGGACTCTGCACTTCCACTTGCTGACCTTCATGAGGCTCCTGCTAACTCATTTATACCAACTTGCTCAGATCCCTCTGGGAAGCAGCATGACCCTCTGGCCTATCAGCCATTCCTTCCAGTATTTGTCATCTGCAGACTTGCAAATGGAACATTACACCCCATTAATGGCATATCATTAATGAAAATAGCTTATGTTACAAATATGAAATCGTGACATAGAGTTGTAGAGAATTATGATCTCATTGATATTCAAATCTATCCTGCAATTTATATCTTGGAAAAAAAAAAAAAAAAAAAGAAAAAGAAAAAGAAAAATCAGACAAATTTTATAATGTAGATGTCTTTTTATTGCTTTAGACTCCTTTTTTTCCAGAACATTCACAAATTTAATTGTGATTGTTCAATCCGTGGCAGCTTAATAAAATTCAGGGTTGACCTTCATTGTTCAGCAGCATTTCTTTGATGAAAGCAAATCAAAATGCAGGCACCAAAGGAATGTAACTCATATGAAGGGAAAGCAGATTTTGAGCAAGAAAGGATCAGTCTTCACAAACTGACCAATTTTGAGTGGTACTCAAAGGAAAGAAATAAAATTCTTATAGAGCCTGCCATCTGTAGGTTTAAGACCAGCTGATGTGTGAACAGCCTGCCTCACTGTAGTCCGATTAAGAACACTGAAACATTGATACTTTTGGTGGTGACCCATTTTCAATACTGTATCAGGGGTGGGAAATCAATATGTGCGCAGTTGGATTGAAATGAAGTGATCTCTTGCATATAAATGGAGGTTTTTAGGAATGCACTTACTAGGACAACTAGGAGTTATGCAAAGTGTCTAACAATCATATCACACTTGTAGTCTACCACACATTTTCAGAGGACACTGAAAACAAGCTTATCAAGTTTAATATCTGCTTATATTATATTATATATCTCCTTTATATATAAGCCCTCACTCCGAACAAACAAAGAGAAAAAGCCATGGCAAAGCCCCCACCACCAAAAACAACACTCATTTTAGCCCTGAAAAGAACAGGAGGAGAGAAGAGATGAATTTGTGTCATGGCCAAGTGCTCATCCTCACTGTTTGCTGGTTCAGTTTGCACTCAGTGACATTGCTTGACATCTGATTGCCTGCATGCACATACCTGCAAGCAATATGTGCCTATTATACATTTTTTGACAGCAATAGCCTTTTATTGGTTTATAAAAATCAAATGATCTAAAATGAGAAAGTATTTCTTCTCAGTGCTTCTGTGCTTGCACAGTGAAGCAGTTTGCTACAAAAGGGACAGCATATATAGTATTATGAAAGCACCTGTCTTTTTCAAGTGGTTGTGTGACACGATTGCTTCTGACAAGGAGCTGACCAGTAGTGAGGAGGTAAATGTGCTATTTCTTATGTGAGCACTTAAAAAAGACAGAAAGAATGTTCCTCTGTTGTGTTGATAATTCAAAGGCTGAAATTTCTAATGAGCTTCATTTGCAAAATTAAAATAGAAAACTCATAGATGTATCCCCAATGAAATTCTACTACTGTTATGGTAAGGGTTGACAGTAGCCTGTTCTACTAGTCTTATGTTCTTTACAGATCAGCACATTATCTTGTATGAATGCAGTCTTCAAAAATAAAATCCATCCATTGAAAGGGTTCACCTTTAGGAAAGGAATACATTTTCTTCAAATCTGAGTGACCTAATGCTTTCTTTCTCAACTCTTTGTTAAGGTGGGGGGAAAGGTGGGAGAGGAAATGCAGAGTCCCATGTCCCAGAGGATTATGGGGTGGTGAATTCTAATTGGAACGTAAATCATGTTTGTGTTATCTGTGAAGACTGGCCTCTGTTTGTTAATTGGCATGCTGAGATCATTTTGAAATGGTTGATATAACACTGTGGTCCATTGAACAGGAAGCTCTGCTGTTTTCACAGTTTGATAATCAATGCATCACTGCACACAATTCCTTTCAAATGTGTGTTTGTTTGTCCTGTTTGCTTAATTGAACAGCTGCAATTACTGTTACATACAACTGAATGTTAATTCAGGGAAGAAGAGAATTTTCCTTCTTCATTATAATTAAAAGTATAAATTGGAAACCTGTATAACATTGAGTGTTAATTGAGTGCACTAATTCATAGATTTAATCAACCAGGTATGATAAATCATATTTTATACACGCACACACACACACACAAGAAAAGAATTATTGGTATAGTTTAGTTTTTCTTTTAGGTTTGACATGGCTTTGTTAATTTGCACACACTGCATTCGTTAGAACAATTGCTACTTGAAAACTTGTGGAAGAATACAATATTGTGTTTTTAAAAACTGTGCTGATGAATACAGTTCATTGCTTTCTTCGCATCTCTGAAACAAATCTTAACAAGTTTGTGGTGATAAATTTTGCTTAACAATTCACTCCAGTAGGCCAAATGTATTTAACCCTTTAACTGAACTTCCAGCATGACGGTAATATTCCAATCGGTTGTTGCTAGATTTTGCAAAAAATATCATTTAAGCTACAGTAGCAATCCAGTTAGAATGTGAGTTTGTGTTTCAGGGTGGTTATGCTGCCTACCGGTATGCCCAGCCTGCCACTGCCACTGCAGCTGCCTACAGTGACAGGTAAGATCTCATTTATTGCTAATAAATATCTGACCAGTGGAAGTCAAAGATGATTCTATAAATTTGCCTTGTTGAAGTCTCATAACTGTCTTGTTGCTCTGCAGATAATTGTGATATCCAAAACAGGCTGTTTTATTATAATCCATGAATAGCCATAAATTGAGAGGTTTTAGGCCTTAATTGAGAATTAGGCATGAGATGTGCACGTTCCCAAGCTGAACATCATCCAGTTAATGTCTGTGACCCTTGTACAATTTAGATAAATATACGTACAGCTTCATGACGATCTGCTACTAAAGATCATAATTTGTCTTAGGAGTATTATTTCAGTTGATTTAGAAGCAATGCCCTCAGTTCTTATTGACGTTATTTCAGCCAATGAAAATTGGGAATGAACTGCATCTAAGCTTGAACTATCCCAGACAAAAAAAAATATTTTTTCCATTTGCTTTCTTTCCAAGCATGTGATTTTTTGAAATAGTGGAAAAAAAATAGTTATGCTATTTCTGCAGTATACTTTTGTCTTCAAAATGTAAACCACATTGATGAAAGGAATACCTGAACTAACAGATCGTTAAAACATGTATAAGAAAAACATACAAAGACGTAACATCCATGATGTAAAAGTGATGTCATATAAATTAACTCATCTTCTCACAAGATGAGAATCAAGGCTCATTTCACGTTGATGTCTAAATTGCGAATTTCCAATAGGAACAGGATTTTGTCAGAGTGCATAAAATTAAACATGCATCAGTCTTTGCAGTAAGTCTGGACATTACTTAGTACTGAAAAGAAGGAATATCCTACTTGTTCTTCAGAAATTGTACCCTAAACAGAATCTTTACAACTGTTTTCATGTCTTTGAAGAGCGTACAATCATAAAGGGAAGATGCATGTTGTGAAAGACAAATACATGCATATATTTTGCTTCATAACAACAGTGGAATGTAAGGTCACTGTTCTCAGTTCCTCGTTTATGAAAATTATCCCTTGTAATCATGCAGATGATTTCTTAAATCTTGAATTGAAAAATTACTTCTGATGCTAAATTAAACATTGCTTTTAAGTGTTTCTGTTTCTTAAAGAAATCAACAGATTAAGAAATTTCAGTGAACTGTTTCTTAGATTAAAGTGCTGTTCATGGATTCTGTGTTTTTAGAATAAAGTACCATGGTATGAATGTTACAATGCTATGCATGCATATTTGCCTTTAAAATGCTTATTCTGGATAATGAAGACATATTTTTTAAAGTTATGTGAATAAAATAATTTGCATGTGTGGCTGAGGCATGCTGTGTCAGACAGGTAAGCAAGTTACTTTCTATTATTTTTGAATCAGTAATATTGACTAGATACTGCTATTTGCACTATGTTTGCAGTCTACTATTTCTACTTAGGGTAACCTACAAGGTGAAGTGCTATTCAGTAGTTTCATTTCATTTCCACAAAGGTGTGTTAGCATATTGCAGCTCTAGAATTTTTCTCTGAGCTTATAATGGAAAAGAATTCCTAATCATAAAAACTTACTAAGTTGGAAGGACAGCATTAAAAATAATCCCCCATGGTTAGTCATTTTTTGCTAGACATCATTCAGATTTTCCTGGATCATCTTATAGGTTGATTATTCTGAAAAAATCTCTATGTTATATAATGAAACGGAGCAAAATCAAAATGACTTTTAAATGCTTTAATTACGAATCAGGTACCTTCTCATAAACAAAATGCTGTAAGGTAAAAAAATCAGATTGTCGCATGTTCTGCTATGGGTAGAAAGTCAACAATAAAATTGTTTAAGGAAAAGATAGCGTCCCTAAATGTTGTAAAGAAAGCTTGATATGGTGTCAGTAGTAATGCAGTTGTTACAACGCTTAATTCCTTTTTTTTCAAAATACGCTTAATTTTCAGATATATTTTGTGTATAATTAGAATTGTAATAACCTGACTGTTGCATAATTTTAAATATCTTAAATGAATTATAGATCTTTTTTTTAATTTAACTTTTCTTTTTAAATGAGGTTACCCATCATCTTTGACCTGCTTTCCCCAAATGAATATGGTTTCTTGTGTTAATTACAAATACTGTAATTGAACTTCTTTATGGGAGAATCCTAAAACAACCAAAAAGAATAAAACATAACGACCTGCATATGAGGAACTATATACAAACATGGATACCCCTGATTACTCACAATCAGTTTGGTTAATTTTACTAACTTTTTATTCATATTTAATGAATTCAGTCTAGTCATTAATACCGCAGTTGCTAAAATTAAGAAATACAGTTCAGTACTACTGCTTATTTATTTTCTTCTCAATGTAATAGTAACTCACTGTCATCTGACAATACTGAAGACTGTATATCTATACACTGATCCTTTTTAGTGCTACTTTAAGCTCCTAATTATTTAATTTCAAATAGAATATACTTAATGTTTACATTTAATGAATGCCCAGGAAAGAAAATAAAGTGGCAACCAGTGAGTATTAAAGCAGTGATGTATCATGGAAATCCTACTTTATATATGTAAAAAACAAAAACAAAAACAAAAACCCTTTACTTTTTGACTACATGTCATATACATGGTGAATGGCAGTGTTCCATATTTAACATGCTTCTTAAATTAGGAGTTGGAAAGGGGAAGTCTTTGAATTGGAGACATTTTGATAAATTAAAAATAAAGGTTAATAGAAATATTTGGGATTCAAAAATGGAGACACTGACTACAGTGAATCAGTGTACAGTGATCACTGTAACAGAGCTTGATTTTTAAGAAATGCAATGGTATCCTTGTTTGTCATGGTTGGAAGTATTGCTGGAAATAGGGGAAGAACAGATTAATAAGGCTGAGTCTGCTGGCAAAGGAAATCTCATGAAATAAATCAAAGTCAAGCCAAATAAGTTTAGTAAGAAAGGCACCAAAGTATACCTATTCTAAAAACAAATTCACCGTTAAGGTAGGATGTACAGATTTCTCCAGTCACTTTTTAGGACTGTAAAAGAAAATAATAACCAAACATGTAATTAAAAAGTGCAGCTTGTTTTATTGGTGAAGCAATATAATCACAAAATACAGCTTTAAAAAATTCAAATTGGATTTTTGTGCTTTGATCTCTCATCATACTAAATTGCACTTAAAGAGATGCAGATCTTTGATGAAGTGGATCAGAAAATAATTATTAACTTTCTAATATTTAAAAAGTTTCTGAAATTTTTCCAACTGATAAAAAAGGACCTCTTTGTCGGCAGATGTCCTTCATCATTCAGGGGCTTTGCTTCCCAACACTTTAAAGTGAGAATGCTTGTGAAAGTGATTATAATGGTGTACAAATACTAAATTGGATGTCAACAAAATGGTAGTGCCACTTTTATTCAGCTTTCGTGTAAGATTTTCAAAACTATAAATAAAAGTAGAGTTGTTAGATTTCTGTCAGTGTCTGAAGTAAGAGGAACTAGCAAAGTCATCAGCTTTGGTATTTATGAGGTAGAACAAGTCAAAGCATGGCAGTGGGGTGTATTGTCATTTTGTCATTGCATGTTCACTTGATGTTGCTAGTATGTCTGTAATGCTGTATTGAATTTGACAGATTCATCACATAGCTCAGTGAATGGCTTGCTTGAATTAAGCCTATGGGCAGATTTATTCACATTGATTGGCTATTGGTTTTGTGTTTTTTGATTTGATTATTGCATCTTTGATCAGAGTAAGAAAAATGTTCCTTTCTTGCTTATTAAGTTTGTCAGCAATATTTCTGATAGTGTATGTAATAGTATAATAAAGCAAAACCCCAGTAATAATAAACTATACCTGCCTGTAAGGCAGAATCTTTTCACTTGTACTGCTTGCTAACCCTCTAATACTCAATAATTGTGTGTTTATATATGTATGGTTATGGATTCATATATATACACACATTCCCCATCCATCACTCACCCACAAACTCACATCCACACAGACACATGTGCACACACACACACACACACATAAATTTGTACAGATGTAGACATTAATTCCTTTTGTTTTTCCCCTTAATTTAGTATTCAATTTAAATCTCACTTTAAACAATGAGAAGATTCCCACTGACTATTTTGTTGAATGGCTTAAATCCTTAGGTCTCTCATCACTGGAAGCTTTATTTTATTTTTATTTTTATTTTTTAAGAAAAACAAATAGGATTTATTCCAAAATATTTTGCACACATCTTGTAGCATAAAAATGTATAACTTTTTCTTTATCAGTTTTGTGTTACATGTTCTGTGGTCATACATAAGATTTTGTGCAAAATCTGAGGCAGGAGATTTTACCATATGAAAGTTCTGTATTTTCCAAATTTGAAACCTTTCTTACTCCTGTTAAAGTCCTGATTTTCCAAAAGTTTTTGGAAAGTTTTTTAAATACCTTTGTAGAGTATTTATTTTTGTCAACATCCCATTGCCTACAATAATAGAATTTAATGTATTTTCCAGTTCTCTTTGTGCAAGTAGTTGAAAGTAATGCTTGGTTCAGATTATTCTAAACTAGGATAATAGGTACAGATTTTATTCAACTGGAAACATGCTCATTAAAGGATCAAAAATAAGAATAAAATACACAAAATATAAATATGGACTTCTGTATAAATGTGCTCTTTTGTATATTCTAGATTTGAAGATTATCTATACAAATAAACAATGAAAAATGCAGTAGAATTATACAGTTTATTTTATCCTCTTGAGGACTTTACTAGTAATATATACTAAAAATTAAAGTTCTGTCAGCCTGTAAAATATAATAGCATCTTCAGAGAGTTTAATTTGCCATTACATAATTTTATAGGAAGATTAATATTTTAAACAGTAGTACTTCATTCATTTCATTATCATACATCTAAAGATTTAAGACAAATAGCATTTATGCACATTTTTAATTCCTAAATTAATCAAATTGGGAGAGGAAAAAGCATAAAATACAGCAATATCTTTACAACCAGTTGGAACCTTCAAACCATTTTGAATTTTG